CTCACTTTTCTCATATGTGAAAGAAGGAAGGTTAAGGGGAACTAATTATACAATAAAAACTATATTGTAAAGACATCTTGAAAGATGTAGAAATTCTGATCAACATGATGACTGACCACCATTCCAGAGGACTCATGATCAAACATGCTAGCCACCTTCAGATAGAGAAGTGACAGATTCAGAGGGCAGATGAAAGTGGAAACACATATACACACACACAGAATGAATACGTATCTACATACATACATGTGTGTATATTTGTATGTATATGTACACATATATGAATATATCCATGCATATATTTATGCACTACAGGTGTATATGTGCACACGCATATACATATAGGTATATTATAATGCACGTATATACAGATACATATATATGTGCAATGCATGTATGTGTATGTATGCACAGGCATGCACACACACACACACATATAAATAAATATATGTATGTATATGTGTGTGTGTGTGTGTGTGTGTGTGTATGTTATGGCCAATGCAGGAATTGGTTTTGTTTGACTATACATGTTTGTGGGAGGGGGAAGGTAGAAAGAAAAGAATGCAGACCTAAAAAATAAAATGCAAGTTACTAAAAATAACAAATAAAAAAACCCAAAAGATAAATGAAGAGTTAGAATTCAATGATATCAAAGTTCTCATCCAGCTTTAAAATCCTGTGAGGTAACTGTCACCTTGCAAGGCAGAGGGAGCCCATGAAGGGACTGAGAAAAGACAGGAGAATTTCAATTCGGAGAAGAAATCCAGAGGAATCTGGAAACCTAGGTCCAAGTCCTGGCTTGGCAATTTGCTTGCTGTGGGACCTTGTGAATGTCATTTTCCTCCTTCAAGCCTCAGTTTCTCCATATGTAAAAGACACCTACTTACCTCATAGGGTTGCTATGAAAAAAGGACTTCTTATTTTGATTATTATTTGGTAGGGTTGTTTGGAGGTTCAGGTGACATGCTGTTTGTAAGGCAATTTGTATGCTTTTAAATGGTTACTATTGATGTATGACTTTATTGGGGTGGGGAACCTTCAGCCTTGAGGCCACGTGTGGCCCTCTAGGTCCTCCAGTGTGGCCCTTTGACTGAATCCTAACTTCACAGAACAAATCCCCTTCATAAAAGGATTTGTTCCGTAAAACTTCGACTCAGTCAAAAGGCCGCACCCAAGGACCTAGAGCCACATGTGGCCTCCAGGCTGCAGGTTCCCCACCCCTGCACTAGACAAGTCACCTAACCTCTCAGGGCTTGAGACAACACTGTCAGAGTTTAAGCTGAAGGATCTACATTGGGAGGGGAGAGGGGCTCCTTGGAAGATGGACTGGGCCAGCCCAGCCCTGAAGGTGGAAAAGAAGGCTTGGGAGGTACTCTTCTCCACCCTCTATTCTCACCTTCCTCTTCAGATCCCATCTGTGCTCAAGTCTTGTGATGCCACTTCTCTCTCCTCCCACAATGACCCAAATCCAAGCCCTCATCACCTCTCCCCTGGACTACTGCAGAAGCTTCTTAATTGTGTTCATTACATTCTAGTCTATTCCCACTCTCTCCAATTTCTACAAAGCTCCCAAACTGATCTTAAAGTGCAGGAATGACCACGGCCCTCTACTGTCCAAGAAACTACTTGCTGTTGCTAGCTGCCAGCTATTCCCTTTAGGATCAAGTACAAACTCCCATAGGAGCAGCTAGGTGGTGCAGTGGATAGAGTCAGGAAGACCTGAGTTCAAATCCACTCTTAGACACTTAGCTGTGTGACCTTGGGCAAGTCACTTCACCCCATTTGTCTCAGTTTCCTCCTCTGTCAAAGGAGAAGGAAATGGCAAAGCATTCTAGTATCTTTACCAAGAAATCCCCATATGGGGTTACAGAGTCCACCCAACTGAACAACAGACTCCTTTGATATTTAAAACCCTCCGAGCTGGGCCCAGCCTATCTTTTCAGGCATTGCTATTTCTTGGTGAGGCAATTGGGATTAAGTGACTTGGCCAGAGTCACCTAGCCAGTAAGTGTCCTCCTGACTCTGGGGCCGGTGCTCTATTCACTGTACCACCTAACTGCCCCTCCAGGCTAATTGTTACTTTCCAACAAAAGCCCTATGCTGGATCATTTGCTGTTTCTAGGCAGGACAGCCTCTTTCCTTCTTCCATGCCTTTGTAAGGGATCTTCTCCATGACTAGGATGCCTCTGTCCCTTGGCAGAGCCCCTACTTTCCTCAGCCCCCGTCACCTTCCTTGAAAAAGTTCTTTCACGACCTCTCTAGTTGTTACCCTTCCTTTCCCAATTATGTGTATTTCGATCCTGTATTTACTTCTGTGTAAACATGTTATAACCTCACAAATCCATAACCTGTGTCTTGGACCCCTTTGGCAGCCTGGTGAAGCCTATGGGGTCTTTCTCAAAATCATGTTTCCAAATGTAACGATAGTAAAAAAAAAAAATAATAGCTAACATTTATATAGTATGTGCCAGTCACTGTACTAATCACTTTACAATTATTATTAAGTCCTTACTAAACCCTGGGAGGAAGTTGCTGTTATTATCCCCATTTTACAGATAAGGGAACTGAGGGCAAACAGATGTTAAGTGACTTGCCCAGGGTTATACCCTTAAGTGTCTAAGGGTGGATTTGAATTCAGGTTTTTGTGACTGTGAACCTGGTGCTCTATCCACTTTGCTACCTATATTGAAGTAAAGATGTAATTTCTTCCTTATCTAACTTCATGGACCCCCTGACCTCTATCCATGGATGGCCTGTGGACCCCTGGTTAAGAACCACCCACATCTCTAAGTAGAATGTAAGCTCATCAGAGCAGAGTCTCACTCTTGTCTTTGTATCTTTATCACCCAGCAGAATGCCTGGCACATAGTAGGTGCTCAAAAAAGGCTTGTTGATTGATGGATTCACATTCATGAGGTCTGGCCAAGAGGTTGTGCTGGAAAAGGGTACTTTCATTCAGCTATTAGCTCACCGTTTTATCTTGGATGGGTTGGTCACTTTCCCTTTCTGAGTTTCTGTCAATACTTTAAAAATCCAAACCTAAATCCAGCTTTCCCCTAAATCTGTGGTCTCTGATTTCATCCGTGTGGGTGCTTCCATCACTGACACAGAGTGTGACTAATTTTGGGGATGATATTAAAATGTTGCCAGCCGTGGCTAGGAAATCCATCACTGTGGCCAAGCTGCTGCTGAGTCTCTAAAACTCAGGCCGGTCCTCAGCAAGCAGAAAACGGTTGCTCCCTGGGGCATGAGAACGCTGAGCTTTTCTGGCTTGGTAAGACCATCTGTAGTTGCCTTCGGCCAGAATAGCCTTCAAGAAGCCTGGGTCACCCCCACACCACAGTGATGGAGGACTTGTGGGGAGGTCTTCATCGGTCAAATGGAGATAATAAGCCCTGCTCTGCTTTCCTCTCCGGGGTGTTGTGGGTATCACATGTGATAATGGATGCGAGAGTGCTATACAAATGTGAAGGGCTGTTATTATTAACCCAGTGTTCTTCCCACATAACCAAACTAACAACAGTCAAAATATTAGGTCACTTTGTAGAGAAAAACCAGCCCCCGGTGCTGCTCAGGCCCCTCTAATACCAAGAATAGACATCATGGTAGAGTGAAAAAGAACCCTGCCAGGAAGTGGACAAAGTGGGTACACGCAATTGTCGGGAAAGCTGCCTCAGATGCTTGCTCGCTGGGTAAGTCACTTAACCTCCCTGGGCCTCAGTTTCCCTCATCTGTAAAATGAAGGAATCAGACCCTATGACCACTAAGGTCTCTTCCAGCTCTAAATCTATCACCCTAAGGACCCAGAGAACCAGATTGGAATCCATACTCTGCCACTGTTGTGACCTGGGGCCGGTCACCAAACATCTCTGAGAACTCAGTATCCTCATCTAGAAGACGAAGGGGCTAGATTTAATTCGTTCCTCTAATCCTTAGCCAGTTGGGTAGGTGGTGGTAGGACCTGGAGTCTGGAAGATTTGAGTTCACATCCAGGCTCAGATACTTACTAGCTGTGACGACAACAACATTTACACAGTGATTACACTGTGCCAGGCGCTGTACTAATGGCTTTACAAATACTATCTCATTTGGTCCTCACAACAACCTTGAGAGGTAGGCGCTGTTATTATCCCCCTTTTACAGATGAGCAAATTGAGGCAAACAGGTTGAGTGACTTGCATATGGTCACACAGCTACCAGGTGCCTGAGGCTAGATTTGCTCTATCCACTGTGCCACCTGCCTGCCACTTGGGTAACTCAGCCTCAATCTGCCTTAGTTTGCTAATCTGTAAAATGGAAATAATAATAGCGTCTGCCTCTCAAGGTTGTTGGGAGGATCCAGTGAGTTAGTAATTGTAAAATCGCTTGGCCCTGTGCCTGGCACATAGTAAGTACTCCATAAATGTTACCTCTCATAAGTATCCTGGGCACGTCCCTTAATCTGCCTGCCTCAGTTTCCTCGTTTGTAAAATGGACATAATAGTATTAGGATTTGTCTCCCAAGGGCGTCGTGAGGATCCAATGCGGTAATCACTGTAAAGGGACTTAGCCGTGCCTGGCACATAAGTGCCATACAAATAAACGTGAGATGTCCTTAGCACGCCGGGCACGGCCCTCGCCCTGCCTGCCTCAGCTTCCTCATCTGTAAAATGGGGCAGGTGACCCTCGCCCTGCCCGCGGGCTCTCAGCGGGGGGCTCGCCGCGGAGGTCCCGCCGCGGAGGTCCCGCGCTCGCCCGCAGAGCACAGCGCTCAGCCCGCTCTGCGGGGTTCCATCAGCGCAGCTGCACGTGTCCTCCTCGGACCCGCTCTCCGCCCGCAGCGCTGTTAGGACTCCAGGACTCTTCCTTAGGGGCTGCCCTCAGCTGCAGGGTCCCGCCTTCCCGCTCCTCCTCGGTCTGGGCCGGGGCAGCTCGGCCCGGACGCGTCTGGGCTCCCGGGCCGGCCGGCTGGCATCGCCCTCCTTAAGGCGGCGGGCTTGGCGTCTCTCTGTCTTTCTCTCTCACCATCGCCCTTTTAAGGCTGCGCTGCCTGGCCGGCTCCGGAGTCGGGCAGAGGTCGGGGCGCCCCCTAGAGGCTGGCGGCGGCGCGGCGGCTCCTCCCCCTGGGGGGGAGGGGGTGGGGGGGAGTGGATGTGTGTGTGTGTGTGTGTGTGTGTGTGTGTGAGTGTGTGTGAGTGTGTGTGTGCGTGCGTGCGTGCGGGCGGGGAGCGCGCGCCCCGGGAAGTCAGAGCGAGGCTCTGGTTCCCTCGGAGCCCCGCGCTGCATTCCTTCCCCTCCATTCATGCTGGGCAGCGGCGGCGTGCAGGCACGGGAGCCCGAGCGCTGGCACAGGCGGGGAGGGGGGCGGCCCGAGGCGGCGGCGGCGGCGACGGCGGCGGCGCGGAATGTGAGCATGGCCGGCCCCTTCGTGGCGAGCCCGGATCGCGGCTGTAAGTGCTGCCCAGAGGCGAACTTTTCTGCGGGGCTGCGGCTCGGCTCGGCGGCGGCGGGGGTGGGATCGGGATCCGCTCCGCTCCGCCCGCGCCTGCCTTCCCCGCGTGGCTCCCTGCAAGTTCGGCTTGGGCCGGATGTGCCTGCATGCACACACACTCATACACTCACACTCGCACGCCTACCCTGGCGTGCCGGGCTCCCGGCGGCCAAGGTAGGGGGGCGAGGGGCGGGGAGCCCCCTCGTCGGGCGAGCCCACGGGCGGCCGAGGCGGGCGCCGGGCACGCGGGACCGAGCGGGGTCTGGACGTACCGGGCTCGGGGCTCCGGCTCGGCGCTCCAAGTGCGGGGACGAGCCTCGGGCAGCCTCGGAACGGCCCCGGGCCGCGCGTGTGCGTGTGCGTGCGGGAGAGCGAGGCGAGGCGAGGGGCGGCACGGAGGGGTCCCCGGCTGGGGCGAGCGAGCCGGCTGCGCCCGCGGCGGAGCCCCGCAGCCGCGCGCCGGGGCGGGCTCTGCTCCGCTGCTTCTCCGCGTGGGGTGTGGAAGCAGGGCTGGAGGGCCCGCGCGGGGGGACTGCGGCGGCCCAGGGCGGAGGACGGGCAGCCCCGGCCCGCTTGGCCCCCGCAGCCGGCTCGCGGGGCGCGCTTCTCTCGGGTCCCGGGGACGGGCCCCGGCGCGGTCTCGCGTGTGCCGGGGGTGGGGGTGGGGAGTGGGGAGGCGGCCATCCGGCCGGCGGGCTGGCCAGCTGCTTTGTCACCGGCTCGGTTCCCGGGGGCTTTGCGGGCGGAGGCAGGAACCGGGGCCGGCCGGTGGCGGAGGCTCGAGCCCCCGACCCGGGGCTCGGAGGTGCCCCCGGGGGTGGCCGCGCACGGGGGGCTGCCGTGGTGACCTAACTCCGGAGCCAGCGCAGTGGGAGGAGCGGGCGCGGAGGAGGGGGTGGGCCTCGGCCGCTGCCCGGGGCTCCTTCCCCGCAGAACGGAACCGGAGCCCCCCGCGACCCCCACGCCCGGCCACCCCCTCCGCTCCCTCGCTTGGCAGACCCAGCCCTTTGCTGGGGGTCGGGGGGAAGGAAAAGTTTGCTTTTCGCTGCTTGGCCTGGACCAGGCGGGTCGGGGGGCTGGGGGCTGGGGCTGCGGGGGGAACCCCTCCCCAGGAGGTGACTGAGGAGGGCCAGCCCCTAGGGCCGGGAGGCTCGCGCCCCCTCCCCAGCCGCTGCTCCCGAGCCGCCTCCGGGGAAGCTCCGCCCGCAGCCTGCGCTGCCCGGGAGCCTTCTCGAGGAGGTGGGGCCGGCCACTGGCGCTTTCTCTCGCTCTCTCCCGGAGCCGGAGCCGGGGAGACCGCCGAGACCGCCGTACGGAGGAGGAGGAGGGAGGAGCCCGAGGAGCCCGGCCGCTCCACGGGCGGGCTGCCTTCGGGCCTGACTGCGGGCATCCCCGGGCTTCCAGCTGTCCTGGTCCACCACCGCTGTATGTACCCAAGCCGAAGGACAGACAGACCCACCCGCAGCGGGCTCGCACACCTCGCACACAAAGCCGGCCGGCCGGCCGCCGCGGCCAGCCAGCACCCCCCTGGCCGGCGTCTGGGCTTTTCCCCTGCCACCCAGGAGTGCTTAGCCCTCTGGGTGCATTTCTGCGGCTGGGGGTTGCTTGTGTTTGGGGTGCCGAGCCCTGCGCGACTGGGGAGCTGGCCAGGGCCGGGGGTCGGGGCCCTGGCCAGCCTGGGAATGGTGCTGGGGGCTGGGCCAGGCCAGAACTAGGGCTGCTGACTGCCATGGGGCTGGAGAAGGTAGGGATGGCAAGGATAGTAGGGATGGGGGCGTCGGCCCGATCGTGCCGTGCCTGGAATATCAGCTCCGTTCCAAGGTTTGCACAGCTCGGCTCCATTACGTGTGGCAGGTTTAATTTGACTGGGGTTGGGGGGCTGCGGATAGTGCCTTTTGGGGTGGGACTTGGGGTTTTGGTGATGGGTGGGTAGATGAAGTTATTTCTGTTTAGAAGGGGGTGTGGAAGGTAAAGTCCGGGGGGGGGGTTACCCTCTTTTGCCTGGTCATGATCCCAGACTGGCTCTGGTGGCAGCCGGGGGGATAGGAAGGCAGATATCCCTAGAAACCCAGTCTCAGCATCCACAGAATCACAATATTAAAGAGCCAGTAGAAGGGACCAGAGAACTCTTACTTTATACTTGGGGAAACTGAGACCTAGAGAAAGGAAGTGATTTGTCCAAGGTCATACTGTGTTAATTGGCAGAACCTGGTCTGCTGTATCTCAGACCGGTAGACTTTCCTCTTAGAGGTGGGTGGTTTTTGGTTTTTTGTTTTTGTTGTTTTGTTTTGTTTTTTGTTTTTAATCCTTGCCAAAGTTGTAGTTTCCCCTTTTGGGAACAGGATAAGAAAGGCTGTTTGGGAATCATCCCGCAAGCCACACTTTAATCTGAAGGTCGGTTGGCCAGACTAGCCAAGTTAAAGTGAGCTCCTCTTCAAAACAGATTGACTTGCTCTTCCCCACCATGCCTTTCCCTACCTCTTGGAGAGAAAAAAAAATGGACCTCGATCTAGTAGGAGATAGTGGCAAGAACTGTGTGACCCAGGGTGGGAAGCCGTCCTGCCCCCAGCTCCCTGGCCCCTGGTTCTGTCTGTACTAATTCATCCTGGGCCTTGAGCTGCCCGGAGCACATTTCCCCGGGAAGCTGCTTCTCCTCTTGGTCAGCCTGGAGAGGGAACAAGAAGCCGCTATTGACTCTATCAAGGGTTATCCATTTGAAAACACCATTTCCCTCTGAACGGCATCTAATTGCTTCCTGAACAATCTCAAGGTCTTTTGTATAGACTCAGTGGGTAGAAGGGCTGGGTATCTATCTTCCAAGCTGCAGCAGGGGAAGGGAAGGGAAGGGAAGGGACCTGACCTGACCAGCGCAGACTGGGGGCTGGGAAGAAAGCACAGGGAGGAGGAAACTCTGAAAACAGTGTGAGGAGAAGGGCTTAAGTTTTGGTTCTTTCTTTCTTTTCTTTTCTTTTTTCAAAGGGAGAGAATTTCTCCCTTTAAAAGAAAATCAGATTCAGTGTCGAAGGAAACTTGCTTTATTAAAATACAGTTCAGTGCTCAGGTGAAGACGATGGTTAGTTAATCAGCAGAGGGGTGAGTACTTGGATTCTGGACCATGCTGAGATGTGGGAGGGAAGGAGGGGTGGTTAGTGAGAAGGAAAGGGCAGGGGGCCCACAGGAAATCTGACCTCTTCCCTACCCTTTGTTCTCTGGGGTCAGAATTGCTGCCTCTGAGGAGCTCTGTTTGTTTGGGCCAAAACCCTCAATTAGGACTCCCCAAGCTTGGCCTGTGAAGAGAAATTCTTTCCTGATGGACCCTCTCTGGCTTTTTTCTGTAATAGTACTTTTTTTTTTTTTTTTTTGGCCATGTTTGCCAGTACCTCTTCTGATTGCCTCTCTTCCCCCTCCCCCATTTTTTCTAAGGCATTTTTTTTTTATTCCTTTAGTAGTCACAGATCCCAGACTGGAGTAAGAGAAGGGGCCACCTCCCCTAGAATCTAGTCCTCATTCTCCCTCTATGTGTTTGCCAAGAATGTTGTGTGAATGTAATGGGGTTTCTGAAGTGTCACTGGGGCACAGAGTAAGGGACTTGCATCTGGGACTTTAGTTGTGGAGAGTGCTGCCCCCAAATACCTTGTGTGATTAGCCTTATAAGCCTCAGATTTTATTTGTTTGTAAGGGGTGGTCTGATCCTTTATTTTGGTTTTGAGCATAACAAATAATCCATTAGCCCATCTCAGCCTCCTTCCCTCTCTCTACCACCCAAGTAACAAAGATAAAAAAAAAAAAAATCTTAAACTTGAACCTAATTATCTGCCTGGGTGACTCCATAAGATTTCATGACTTTCCATCACCCCTTGTTTGGAGAAATCTGAAAGGGCCAGGTTCTAGTCTGGGCACTAATTAGCTGGTGTGACCTTGGGACAGATTACTTTGTGACTTTCCGAGTTTCCTCCTTTGAAAAATGAAGGTTTTTAAGAGAAGATGACTTTTAAGGTCTCTTCCAGATGTGTACTAAGGTCCTCCCCAGCTGTGTATTCTGTGTTCTAAGGTCCCTTCCTGCTATGATAGTCCTTGTTCTTAAATCTCTTCCAATTGATATCCCATGTCCTAAAGCCCTTTCCGGCTGTGACGGTCTCTGTTGTAAGATCTCTCCCAGCTGTGACATTCTTTGTTCTAAGGACCCTAATGGCTCTGAAATCTTAGGCATCTATGAAGTCCAAGGCGCTGTGGCCCTTTGGGTAGTAGAGTGGGTGTTTGTTACCCAGGCATCCAGTCTTACTAGATCACCCTGCCCATTCGTGAAAGCTGCTGAAGGCTTTGTGGAGGAATATAGACACACACACACACACAC